TTGCAAACCCCCACTCCCTTCTACACTGATGAGGTTACCTAGTTGGGTCCTGAAATGTTTGCAAGGAAAAAAAAAAAAACATCACAGAGACCATCAACTCAGTTCAACCCTGAGCTACGAATAGCCTTTTTCTATCTGTATCAATAACCTTCCAGGAAAACAACGAAAACAACCAAAAAAACGCGAAGGATTTTGTGACCGAGCATTGAAAATGAACCTTCTCTCTTCTCGCATTGCAAAATGTGCCCTGGGCTCTTTCAGCAAAAGGGAGCTAAGTCTCCTCCCCCCGACAACTCTGCCCTTTTCAACCATCTCTCCTCCCTCTCCCCCCCCCCCACCCTTTTTGCAAATTTCTGCTGCGGCTGCATATTCCCAATCTGTGTATTTAGAGATAACACGCCAGTAATTATACGGCTGGCATTTTTATTTTGTACGGAGAAAGGAGAGTGAAAAGAAAGAAAAGAAAAGGGAAGGTTAACAACGCGCAGCCGAGAACTGGAAAAGCGAGATCGTCCCAACCCCATCTGCCCATCCCAAAGAAACAGAAACCCCGGGGAAAGGCAAATGAGCGGGGAAAGAGAGAAAGAGACAGAGAGAGGGAGGGAGGGAGGGAGGGAGGGAGAGAGAGAGAGAGAAAGAGAGAGAGAGAGAGAGAGAGAGAGGGAGAGAGAATAAATAACTTTAAAAAGGAAGAGAGAACGAAGCACCTTGGGGAAAAAGCACTTTGAGAGGTTTGGACATCTCCTTTTTTCCACATCAGTGGACCAGCTGAGAAACTTCTGCACTCTGCATGTTATAAAACAGCGGTTTCCAACCTTGGCACCTTGAAGACTTGTGGACTTCAGGTCCCAGAATAATGCGCTTTAAGTTTGGTTCTTCCTCATTTGGGGTGGCAGGCAATCGAAGACATCTTCTCTCCTCAAATATCTGGGACGGGCTCCTTGCTGGAGAACTTGCTGAGCTCTCTGTTCACAACAGTCCAGCAAGCTTTGAAGCAGCCTTTAATATTCATCTTGCACCGGATTTTATTCCAGTTGTAAATCTGGCAACGGAGCCTGGCTTGATCTCCGTGGTCAACACTCACCCAGATGAAGGAGCATCAACCACAGCCGTGGAAGAGGACCAGGGATTCTCTTGAAGGACCTCAAGGCAGTCATTCCGATAGCAGCAAAAGAAACATCTGGGGTGACTTCCCCTTTTGCCCGCTAGGTCTTTCCTCTCCACAGGAGAAGCAAAAGAAGATTTCTCGCTCATTTCCTGTTGAGCTGGACCGATGTCTCAAGCTCAAGACTTTCTGCCTCAGTGAATGAGGTCAGAGAGAGAGAGAGAAAGGGGGATTCTGCTGCTTTCTCGGGAATATGATGTAGAAAGTCAGCACGCACTGAAACCTCCATCCTGCGGTGGACAGACCATGGCTAAAATGACCACAAGGATTCCTTAGGCTATGAACCACAACTGGGGCCAGAAATTCCAGTTGCTAAGCAACAAGGTGGTTACGTGAGGCATGCCCGATTTTGCACCCTCCTTTGACATGGTTGTTAAGCCAATTCTGGGAATTGAAGTCCACAGGTCTTCAATGGAATGGAATGGAATGGAATAGAATAGAATAGAATAGAATAGAATAGAATAGAATAGAACAGAATTCTTTATTGGCCAAGTGTGTTTGGACACACAAGGAATTTGTCTTTGGTGCAAATACTCTCAGTGTACATAAAAGAAAAGATACATTCATCAAGAGTCAAGAATCATCAGGTACAACATTTAATAATAGTGTTAGGGTACAATAAGCAATCAAATCATACTAGGAAACAGTCAATATAGAATGGAACGGAACAGAACAGAACATAATAGAATAGAATTCTTTATTGGCCAAGTGTGATTGGACACACAAGGAATTTGCCTTGGTGCAAATGCTCTCAGTGTACATAAAAGAAAAGAGACATTTGTCAAGAGTCAAGAATCATCAGGTACAACACTTAATAATAGTCATAGGGTACAATAAGCAATTAATTCATACTAGGAAACAGTCCATATAAATCGTAAGGATACAAGTGACAAAGTTACAATCATACAGTCACAAGTGGGAGGGGATGGGCAATAAGGAATGGTGAGAAGATTAATAGTAATAGTAGTGCAGACTTTGTAACAGTTGAACAGTGTTGTGGGAATTAGTTGTTTAGCAAAGTGATGGTGTTCAGGAAAAAAACTCCCCTCGTGTCTAGTTCTTCTGGTGTACAGGGCTCTAGAGCATCATTTTGAGGGTAGGAGTTGAAACAGTTTATGTCCAGGATGTGAGGGGTCTGTAGATATTTTCACAGCCCTCTTTTTGACTCGGGCAGGATACAGGTCCTCCATGGAAGGCAGGCAGGTAGCCATTGTGTTTCTTTCCTGCGGTCCTAATTACTCTCTGGAGTCTGTGTCTGTCTTGTTGGGTTGCAGAACCAAAACAGACAGTGATACGAGTTGCCAAGGTTGGAGAGACCCCTGTTGTAAAAAGGATTCTGAAAAAACCTGCCTGTTGTAAAAGGGCTCTGGCAGGGCGGGTTCCAGGCATTTTCCAGGCACCTCCTGAATTCACCGACAGGCCCCAGGCAAGCCAGTTCGACGGGACTGACCCCACCCCATGCAAAATGTGATTACATCTCACGAAACACACCCATGGCTGAGCGAGCAGGCACACTGCTTTTGCTGGGAGAGAAAAACTGGTCCATCCTCCCTGAACCTCTTAAGGAGGCCTGGAGAAACTTTCTGAAGACCCTCAAGAAGTCCTAGGAGACTCCCTGTGCTTAGGAAGAACGCCGCAGGCTAACTCAGGAGGGGTCACAGACCTTACTCTAAAGAGACCGTCGACAGAAAAGAAAGAGATATTCAAACCAGAAGTATTTTTTGCTAGGAATTA